AGCTACAAGCGATTTTTTTAAAAGATCGCTATTTTTTTCAATTTCACATTACACCTGATCTTAAATTCTGATTGGTCGATCAGTGGGTGCGTTACTACGCATATGCGCTAAATTATATAACTCATTTTTTTATATTAATTATAATTTGTGCTTATATAGAGATACCTTTGTAAAGTCACACCTCTTTATAATCACTATATTAGGGTGTGCCCAACTGTGTAATTATATAGAGAGATGACTGTAATCAAATTTTTTAGTGATAAATATTTATATAAATTAGAATATCACAACAATATCTTATTAAAAAAATAAGTATAGTTATAAGTTAGATTGAATGATGCACTTGTCTTGATTGATTTTTCTAAAATCATTTTTGATAATTTTTTTAGTAATAACTTTCCAGAAAATGTACTTAGCTTAGTTTTTAGTAAAGTATTCACAATTTCAGTTGTATGATTTTGGCAATAGGCTGTCATCAAAATTTCAGTTATGTGATTTTTTATATTAGACTTATTATTAGAAATATTATTAATAATCTTTTGAATTTGTTTATTGGTCAATTCTTAAATAAAATTTGTATTACATGCTTTAAAATATTTAATTTTATTTATACAGTACCGGATAGCAAAAAATATCCAATTTTTTTTAAAAGTGCCAAATTTTGTGATTGATACTCAAATATTATTGGTTATTTTTTGTGTAATAAGATTCTGATTGGTTAAAAATCTATAAACCAATTTTTTTTATATATTAAACACCAAATTTTTGATTATATATAAACTTTAAACTCTAATAATGTTTTAAATTTATAATAAAAATAAAAATCTGTCTTACAGAAAACTAAAAGTAACAAATCTGTAAGACAGATTTTTTTTAAAGTTATTTGTTCATGAGTTATTAGCATTTTTATATTTATATATAAAAAGTGGATATTTCTTGCTGTCTAGTACTGTACCTATTTTGTTAAATAATTTATAAATTCTTATAGCCTTTGGTTTTTTTTGTATAAAGTTTTATACAAAATTTCTAGAAGCTGTAATTCTATTTCCTTGAACCTTCTTTTACAAATAATATTAAGATATTCCAATATTTTATTATATATTATACACTGTCTTTTTCTTGCCAATTTTGCTATTATGTTTTTTATAAAATTATTATACTAAATTATAAATTCTTTTCTATAATTAATCTAGCATAAGGTTTCTTCTTGGTTAGCTTTTATAGTATAATGTTAGTTGCTTTATCAAATAATTAAAATTGAATAATAAGATTTTAGAAGAATTTTGATAACAGGCTATTGCTAAAATTCTAGTCATATAATTTAAATCTAAATAATATTACCTAGGTGATATTCTTTGTTCTTTTTTCTTGTATAATTGAGAGATTTGTTTTGACTTTTATTTTAATCCTCAAGCTTTTTCACAGTTTTTGAGTTTAAAGATTCAGGTATTGACAAGGTTGATACTTTGAATTGTATTAGTAAAGTTGAATTCTTGAAGTTTTTCCCTGGTTTTTCTCTTTTATCTTACAATTAATCCTTTTCTTGTATATTATTTTTACAAAATCAAGAATCTTAGCTAAATTATCATGGATAATATTCTGTAATAAACAAGCTATAGATGTTTCAGGCTCTATTAAAAATTCAGGTTGGGTTAAGCTATATTCTATTTTAGGCAAGAGATTAGAAGTACTATCTTTCTCCTTATTATAATGGCTCTCGATAAATAGTAAAATATCTTTTGTAAAAAATAGCTTCTATTTATTAATAATAGTTTGTATCTGTTTCTGGTTTAATTTTGTGATTCTATTTTTAAGCTCAGTATTTTTTTTTGTGGTTTGTTCCAATTTGGCGATTCTGACTTTGAGCTCAATATTCTCAGCTTTGCGTTTAATACTCTGTTTTATAACCTGTTTTAAAAGCTCAGTATTCTTAGCTTTGAGCTTAGCCTTTTTAGCTTCAAGTTTAGAAATTTGTTACTTTAGTGAATCAATTTTAGATTGCATATTTTAGTGGGTTGTATATCAGAATCCCGATATACAAAATCCTGATATACAAAGTTCTAGCAACAAAATCCTGATATACAAAATCCTAACAAATTAAAATCTTAAAATATTAAAATTAGGATTTTAATTTGTCAAGATTTTGTGTATTGGGATTTTGTTGCCAGGACTTTGTATATCGGGATTTTGTGTGTTAGGATTCTGATATATAACTATTTTAGTGATAGATTGTATGTATTATTATTTATTTAAAATATATAACTGAATTTTAGCAATAGCCCACTGTTAAAAATTTCAAAAAAATATTAATCAAATATGTTTATTACAAGGTATCAAAACTAAATCACAAATAAAAATATTGCAGATTACAACCATGATTTGTAAATTTGCATAGTAAAAAAAAATCAAAATCAAAAAAACATGTATTCAATATTTTATTTTGATATATCAAACTTTAATAGTAATTTATTAAAAGCCAATAATATATATAATTAAGTACTACACAATAGAATCAAAAAACTATGCAATATCTATTCCATCTGAAGATTCTTTGTCTAATAATTCTCACTTGAAGTTATTTGAATTTTGGACAATAAATACTATTTTTATATTATTTTTGATTATTTTCTATTTGTAAATAAAGACAATAAAAAATAATACATTCAATAAACTAATAAAACTTAAATCATAAAGATAAAGGATAAAGCATATCTTTACCTTCTATATGCTAACCAATACTCTTATAAGATTTTTATTTTTTTAATAGTAGCTGGCACCTCAAGAAGCTTATCTCATTTTAAGATTGTTATATATTCTTTAGAACTACTCATTTGTAAAACTTGTAATTTAAGATTTATAACAATCTTAGTTTGTTTCAAAAAACTAAAAACTTTTGAATTCTTATTTTACTTACCCAAGTGAAGAATGTCCAGGATTTGTAATTTTTTTATTTTGGTTTCTTCAAGATTAACAAGTCTATACAAATATTTGAAGATGTCATATATAGCTTTGCTAAATTTAAATTCATCAGCTAGCAATTTTGTTTCATCAAATTTTTTCCTGTTTCGATTGCTCTGAACTTGATATTAATTAGATAAGTTTGAAATAATCTATCTATTTTATACCCTATCTTCTTACAAGAAAGCTTCTTGTAATAGATACATATTTGTTTTTATTTTTTCTTGTAAATACTGCATTACTTGTTGATTCTTTTTTATTAAAAAAATAAGTTAAAAAAAATACAGAAATTATTATAAAAGTGAAATGGTATATATATACCTAATTACTTCTATTCTAAATATATTGAAAAGACCATGTCAACAATATGTAACCACACATTGATATCGTACTATAACTCAAGATATGATCTTTTTAGTGGTTCATTATGATTTTATAATATATAAGGCTTTTTTAATAAATCAATACAAATATGTATAAGTTATTAAAACATTGTAACAATCTTGCTGATAAAAACAATTTTCTCATTACAGTTTTAGCCTATTTAGATCAAAATAATCTTCTTAGATATAAGGCTTATTTTTATTTCGAAAGAATATTGTTTCTAAGAGCTTTCTTAGTTTGCTTTCTGTTTTAATCTAAAATTAAAAATATTATTAAAGTTACAAACAAATCAAAAAATATTATAATATCTTAACTTACATCAGCAAATTATATTATAGATTCTACAAATGTTTTGTTAACTTCCAGAAATTTTCTGTTTTTATTCTAGATTTCTTTCCACTCTTCTATAGTAAATAGTTCTTTTGCCTCTTGATCATCAAGATCAATAATCCATGATTGTAAGAGTGATTCATTTGGCAGTTTCTTGCAGTATTTAAAAAGAGTATTTTCGATATATTTTTCAGATATAAGAACCTATTTATGAGCTTTATTTATATCTATAAAGTAATTGTAAAAATCTTTAAGCTGTGATGCCTTAATAGTAATAAAGGGTTCTGATCTTTAATATCACTTATATTGCAAAAGAAATAAAGCTTTAAGCCTAAAAAAAAAAATTCAAAAAACTTCAATTGAATAATTAAATACCTTGGTATATAAACTAAACTATTGTTACTCTTAGACAAAAAAGGTAAAGAATTCAATAATTTAAATTCAGTTTAAAAAAGAACTGTACCAATTAGCAATTATTCCAATTATTCAGTATTGAATAGTTTACTTTAATATAAATAACTATATTTCATCTCTTTCATCTATTTAATTGAAAACATTTTGTTTATCAATTATAATTTCTTTGTCTTGTTCTACATTAATACATTCTTCTTCATACTCTTCTAGATTATAAGATTTGGAATAATGTTTTGCATTTTCAACTCTATTAATTTTATTATAGCTTTTACTCTTCTTTTTGGTTGTTCACATAGTGTATCTAATTTATTCAATATGCATTTTTTGATTTTTGGTTGTTCACATAGTGCATCTAATTTATTCAATATGCATTTTTTTGATTTTGTTGTAATTTTACTTTGTAATAAAGCATCTTGATTATGAGTCTTTCTCATTGTATCCAGAATATGTTGGGTCTAAAATGAAATAAACTTTTAGTATCACAATATCAAGATTAGACATAATATAAGTCAATAATATATTATCTGTTTAAAAGCAATTTGGTGTGATAGTTTCTTCTCAAGTAATTTGTTTTTCTCTTTTTTCTTTTTGAGTGACTTTATCTCTATTTATATGGTTTGTCTTTTTATTAGCAACTTTCAAAATTTTGAATTTTTATTGTTTTGTTTTTAAAAAAGTAAAAAAATAATAAGAAATTATTGCAAAAGAAAATAAACTATTTAGACAAGTAAGCAACCTTCTTGAACAAACACACAGTTTTTCTCTATAAATACACAGTCTACAAAATAGTTCATGAAAGGTTATATATACAAGCACAACAAACATATAGTCTTTCCTTTACAAATATACAGTTTACAAAGTAGTTTAAGAAATTTTATATACTGACTAGTACTACTGCATACTTGCTCAAACACAGTTTTTTTCCAGACAAATATGTAGTCTTTTTCTTGAAAATATACAGTTTGCAAAGTAGTTCAAAAAGTACAACATAATATTAATACACAATTCTCAGACAAATATGCAGCCTTTCCTTTACTAACACATAGTCCAAAAAGTAGTCTGTAAAGTAATGCATTACTCACAATCAAATTGCTAAAGAATTATAGTAGATGATAATATCTTGAAGTTATGTTTTCCATTTTATTACATTTTTCTGAATTCAGATATTTCAGTATAATACTTGCTTATAGTATTCAGTTTACTTATATACTGATTATATTTATCTTCTATACTTTTCCAAAAGGCTATATATTTTACAAACAATAAGTTATACTATAAAGCATTTTTATAATAAATAAATACTATTACATTAGTTATACTAGAGTATTTCAAAACATTGACATATTTAGTTAACAAACATATTTTATATTTGAGTTATTAAAAAATTGACTTTTTATTAGGGATGACAAATATTTTAAAACATGTTTTAAAACATTTAAAATTTTTAATAAAAAATAAAAATCAAATATATATTTATTAACTAATTATATTATAAAATTTTAATTATATAATTATATCTAGTGATATGCTACAAAGTACAATATATAAAAAATTTTTTAAAATATTCTAGAACAAATTATAAAACTATTTATATCATATCTAAAATAGCTGTTTTTATTTTAATTATCTAATAGCATCTGGCTAGAATTATATATATATATAAAGTTTTAATTTAATAGGCGATTCACCAGTCACCTGAACAAAAAATTTTTTTTTTATATATAAATTTTACTATGAGTGTGAAAGCACAGCGTCTCTATCTAAAACTTTTTTTTATACTAAGTA